TATTAAATTTTCATGAAATATTGTTTACTAACAGAATTTTTTGATAAGAAAGTCCATTTAGTGACCTGTATTAAAATCGCCTCGAGATATTTTTATTATATATACGTCTAGTCGATACGGTTTAAAAAAAACGCAAAATAGGTGTAATTTCACTATGAAAATAATAACTAATCACTGTTGCTGAACCCCTTAGGACATATAAGCAGATTTCCGATTAAGCAGAAAAACTTTCACAGCTGTTATATTAAAGGATAAATTGTAACATAGATACTGCAATAAATTAAAGGAAAATATTTTTGGTTGACAAAATACTCTTGGATACCTTTTTTTAACCACTCCCCTCAGCGCGGTGTAGTGAGCGGACTAGTCAAAAAGCGGCATACCTACTAAAACCTAATAGTATCCCTCGCCATGAAGGCGCTGCAAGGGGATAGCCCGAAAACCATTTCCCGCGTCGTGCGTCACCATTTTGATCCAACCATGCAGGGCAGGTTATCGCTTTTCTGCGGTTACGGGGCTAGGATTCAGGAACATTTGATTCATAACCACACACAGGGCGAGGACGTGCAATGCCCAATGAGCGTAAACTAAGCAGGATATCCCGCCGGAGGACCGGACATACGCTACTGATCTACATTATTTGTAGATCAGTAGCGTACGTTCGGGTACAAAAAATTACTTAGGTAATCTAAACCCCACAAAATTAATAAATGAAACTAGTTTATATATATAAATGAAAGAATTTATTTAAATATCAATAGTTATTAAACATATTTTTTAAGCAACATTAACATGCATTAATGTATAACGATGGTAATAGTTATATTAATTCAGGAAATAAAAATCATTATAGACGTTTTAAAGATAATTCATAATGTACATAAAACATTTCTTAGTTCAAGTTACGTAACTACAGTAATAGCTGCGCGAGCGTACCTATTTACTTAGGGTTGATTCAAAAGTAAAACTATAGTTAATACAAATTTAAAATACTTTTTAATGGTAACCTTATTTTTTAATAATATCCTGAGAGTATTATGACAAATAATGACTAAAATATTTTTTGTTGAATCAAATATGTTAAAGACAGCTTTGCCTGCCTCTTTAGAAAAGTTTAATAAAAAAATATATGCATTATTTTTATGACAATTTTCACTTTTTATTGCTGTTTGTCCATATTGTTATTCATTAGTGTTTTTTAAAATATATCTTTTGCTTGCCAAGTTCTTTTAATTTAAATAATCACAGAGCTGTCGATAACATAATATTCAATTTTGTTACTTCAATTATATCTTCAAGTCAGGCTAAAGGGTTATGGCATAGGTACGCCCATGAGCTTAAACATACCTAAATTATAATTAATGGAAATCAGTCAATGGCAATGTCTTAGCTGAACAATTATACATAAAATAGATCATTTTATATAGGGTTGATAGTAAAACATAAGCAGCCTTGCAGAACTAAATAGTTGACATAATAAATAACATTGCTTAATTTTCCAGATTAAATATAAACCAATACTTCAAAAAAAAATCTAAGTTTTTATTGTCCTATTGTGTACCATAGTACACGTAGGTTATGCTTTGCGCGAGCGAAGTGTAAAACAACCAGTGCTGCATATTTTGCTGTACTACTCCCTAAACTAAAAATGTTATACTAAAATTAGGAGTTTGTTTTAATATTGTTTTCAACATGGTTTGTCTGAAAGATTGCTTCTTAACAATATAACAGCTTTTTATATTCTTCTTTTTTATCTTGCATATTGTATGCTAAAATACAATTCTGTTATTATAACTTACTTATACGTTTGAAAACTGATTGCCAGGCTATGACTAAATTTATTCAAGTCTGCGCAACATAAATGCTACCAGTGTTTTTATAACATTGAAGCGGATAATTAAATTAAAATATATTTTTGTTTGAGAGCAAAATATAACGACTTTTCAGAAGAAGCGTTATCTACACCTATATATAGAAACGATTAGTCACTCACTCACTCATCACGAAATCTCAGAAACTACAAGTGTTAGGAATTTGCATGCGGGTTCTTTTAAGGACGTAGGTGCTCACTAAGACGAGATTTTACGAAATTCCACCCCTAAGGGGATAAATTAGGGGATGAGTTTTTATGGAACTTTTTCGTTTCTGAATTTTATAAAACTACATCACGCGGGCGAGGCCGCTGGCGGTAGACTAGTTATTCATAATGTTAGCTATCGAGTCCTGCGAAGTTTTTACAGCCAGTTGCACAAACGTCCATTACACATTACCGATACAAATTTGACATTCATTAGAGCTTAAAGGCGTCATTAAACCTTAACGGAAGATTGTGCAACTCATCGCTAGTGTTTTGTAACCCTGTAGAATATCGAATATATCGACTAGAGGCACTTTTTCATGGGTCGATACGGTCCGTATGCAGGATATTCCTCAAGCGAAATAATGATTGACCGATTGACCTACTGACTGTTGACCTTTTTGTAGTTACCGCCTTCAGTAGTACCCGCATGCTATAATCGACCAACTAAAATGAGTTTTCAGGTACGATGAGTTTGTACGATGCAAACTTGCCTCTTTTGTCTTAGAGTCATCATTAGATCGAGTTTTAAGCATTGCTATCCTGTAAAAATATAGCGTCGAACACAGCAGCACCAAGAGATTGAATCAAATAAAACCTTTGTTACCCTTTTAAGTAGGTTTTATTTGACGGCGAAGGTGTATTTTTAAAGGATAGCATTGCATTATCCTTGACGAATTTGATCATCACTTGTGGCGTAGCTTGCTTAAAGCGAGCCTTGTTTCAGAATTCTTTCTCTTTGAAATACTTAAATGACTACAGTTTGTGTGAGATTGCGGATATTATTTTACAATATTTTACATGCCTATCAACGAATAGCCGATATTCGCTATTCTGAGTTACCAAGCAAATTCCAACTTTCTTGATATTTTTTTTATTACTATACAAATTTTCCTATGAAACTTATTCATAACAAACACCTACATATTGAATTAATTGCTCAGATCTAAAGGAAAAAAGGTTGAGCACAGATGTATATGTGGATGAGGAAAAAAGAGCCCTTGTTTTCACACTAGTGCCAACGCCAACAAAAAAAAGGTTTCTTTTAAATTGAAACTTAGTTATATGTAATTAATATTTATTAAATAATTATATGATAGTAAACTATTGGATCGGCTATCAGATCTATGGCCCTTATACAGTCAACAGCACGTCAGGTTATAGTAAACTGCGAATTCCTCAGGTCAATTTTATACCATAATTCGTTGGCAATTAAGTTCCAAATATATTGCGGGAATTTAGCACTTTTTTGGTAACCTGATGTACTCCTGACAGAAAAACTGTCGAAAATCTAGCAAGGGCTGTTTCTCTCCGTTCTGTTTAATAGATTTGTCACACTGAAAAGTAACGTCAAGAGTATAGTACAAGATTTTTATACTCGTAAGCACTACCTTCATTATTATATATCAATATTAATGTAAATATTTATTTTTCATTTTAGTACTAACATTAATAATTAATGAAATCAACCAATTAATTTGCATGCAGTTAATGTCCATGAACAAACTCATGAAAAAATGTTTGTGTAAATTTTATCTTTATGTGTCAAAATTGGATGGTGCTGACTGATTGTTGAACACAATAAAATATGCCAAGAATTTCTTACATTTAACCCGTACGAAACCGAGACTACAACCGCCTTACTCAAAGCTAAACCCAAAGCGAAAGCTATAAAAACTTTCTATTGTTTCCATGAACGATCGATTATAATGATGTGATCTATATTATACAGGGCTATTTTTAAAACATCACCACAATCGCAGAATTAGACAGTTAATCATAAACGACGTTATGTCTACGATTTTAAAGGTAACCCAATACTTTGAACTAAAACACTAAAAATTATGATTAAGGTTTGTCTGTACTTACTGCCGTGAGATTTAAAGGTTTTGTTATAAAGCTATGATTAGTTAAACACACTAATCTCAGGAACTACTGGTTCAATTTGTAAATTTATTTTTGTATTGAACAGTCCATTTATTGATGAATAGCTATATAACATCACGCTATCGGTAATAAGAGTGGAGTAGCAATGAAAAAATGTTGCAAAAAGGGGAAAACACGCGGGCGAAACCGATGATGAAAAGCTAGTATTTTAATAATGAATGAAAGAATGACATTAAGCTCGCACTGTGTGAAGTACTTTTGTATTAGATACTACCATTCGAGAGATAAATTATAATAAAATGTATTTTTGTATAAAAGCAATCAGGTCTTAATAACATATATTCAGTGTTATTATTTCTGATGTTACAGTAAGATACCACCGATGAGGCTCACTGATGTACTTGCGCAGAAGGTTAAATTTCGAAGCGTGGCAAATTTCGGTCAACCAAAATGTTTTAAGTATTGCGATATTTGGCGTTCCACCAATATCCACACGCCTGACCCCACTGAATGTGAATGAGACTAACACCAAATCTTTTGTATTTTACACCTTATATTAGAAACAAAACTCACTATAAATTTTAATCATAAGTTCGATCATCGTAGATATTGGTAGATCTGCGTAAACGATTATTACCTTCACAGAAGTTACTATAGCTCTAGTCTATCAATCTAGGCCTGCAAGGTAACCCTGTATAAAAGGCAAAGGTGGGACCGGCTAACTGATCTAGCGCACAGTACGTTTCAAACTACTGGACGGATCGTTTCGAGATTTGCGAATAGTTATTATGACATAGGTTCGCTAAAGAATTTAGAGAGTCATATCTACGCGGCTTCCGTATGCGGAAATTTAGTAATTCTTTATTTTATCATTGGAATATTTATATGCCTTAGATTAAGCCAATGCCAACAAACAATGGGCATCCGACGGCAAATTTGTGCGCAAACTTTCAATGTGTGTGTTTAAGAATACCCAGCATAAAATACCTACATTCTGCAATCAATTTATTAGAAAATCATTAACATTAACACGAGTAATTAATAATCAACACGAGTTTTGGTTTTAGATTTGAGTTAGGTGGTAAAATTACTAATATATGCCATTTCTTAATGTAATTTCTGATGTTCCGTGACCGATGCGACGCAACTTCTGTCAGATATGCACCATCTGACAGAAGTTGCGTCGCGTCGGTCACGGAACATAAGAACTTACAAATATACGACATTCAACCTTGCACACTCGACGGTTGATCCGTCGATTACTAACGCATACTTCCGACGGATCTTCCATCAGATTTGCCTAGAACGACCCTAAACAACTCTAAATCATATCCTATCAACAAGTGTAGATAAATATAGTCTACTTATTTGAAGACGTTGTTTATCAATAAACATATTATTGATAACAAAAGGTACAATTGAGAGCACGTGAGGTTACTACCGAATTTCGTCAATCGATTTTAAGTCTTAAGCTGCTAACTCTTGAGTTAAAAATTGATTGCATTCTGATATTTTTTAAAAGTAACCCGACGTACATATTCGTGTATAATTATTTTTATCTCATTTAGTACTATTATAGAATTATCATTAAATCAAGTTAATATTTTGTTCAACTACAAAAATATCCGTGTCTTTCCCCAATCCCACTTTGCTGTCTTCCGATATTAGTAGACCCTCCATTCTGTAAAAGAAAATTGTATTAAGTTCAAATAGAAGATATTGAAATGACCTAGGAAGTGAAAATTGAAGATATTTTTAATGAGTTATTTTCATTTAACTAAAGTATGTAGGTACAATTTTGTTTGATATTTTTTTTAACCATCTTGTAGGTAGGGACATGATCCCATTGCTATAGAAATTATGGGGCTTCTGATCAAAAAATCACGACAGTGGTTTTGGCAATCCTCGCGTGATGTTGACCTGTTACCGCCTAAAGAATTTTGAAGAGACCGAAACAGGTGGAAATCTGAAGGTGCAAGGTCAGGACTCTCTTAATTTTTAATGATAAGCAAAGATGTGCGAGGTCTAGCGTTATCAAGACGAAAGACCACACCCCTTCTTTTAATTAATTCTGGCCACTTCCTCTCCATTTCTTGGTTTAATCTCATCAGTTGTTCGCAGCGGAATTCAGAATTGATGGTCCTGCTCGGCGGTAACAGCTCATAAAGAGTAATGCCCGTCCGATCCCACCATACACACAGCATCATCTTATTACGAGTTAGCGCCAAGCCTGACCGACCTTTGATCACGACATTTTTCGCATATCCTTGTCGTATGCGATCCACTTTTCATTAGATTCACTCATTTTGACAGTAAGAAAAACAAATGAAAATCACACATTTTCCTAATTTGAATTCAGAGTTATCTTCTTTAAAATTTATCTTTTTAATGATAACAAAACCAGCCAGATACAAAGGGTATAGCCAGAAAGATTTTATTACAAGTTTATTCATACTATATGCGAAAAGACTTTTCTTCAACCTAATATTAATGGAAAAACTTTTGATTAAAAACATAGGAAACTTTGATGAACAAACACATTCGTAAAACTATATTCGGTTGAATTTATTTAAATCGGAATCGAAAACTACGTCAATGTCCACATATATCGGAACGGTATTTTTTTTTCCAAAAAATATGTCTACGAAAATTTTTGTTATACATAAATTAATAAGATTTATACACATAAAAAAAGATCAGCCCAAAACTAGACCGCAACTATTAGCTATTCTATAAAATAAAAAAAATCGCGCGGCCACAACTGACTGCAGTCCGCGCGGGATTGTTTGTATTTTTTTTATGGGATAGGGGGCAAACGAACAGACGGATCACCTGATGGTAAGTGATAACCGTCTACAAGCGCGCTGCCGGCCTTTAAGGGACGAATATGCTCTACGCTTGAAAGTTTGAAGGTCGTATCGGTCCGGAAATACCGCTGGCGCGTCAGCGCTGAGTGGTCGGCGTTACTATAGAACGCTTCTATAGAGCCCATACATATTGGCCTGTCAGCGCGGGCGGTCAACGTGATACTAAAACCGGCCTTATCCTAGTACAATATTGCAGTGGTTTGGAAGCAAGAAATATGTAAGTGGTCATAGTGAATAAAGGCCTTGGGTATGGTAGCAAATAAGGTTGTATTTGACAAGCAACTTTTTTGTTATTTATTGAGTATACCGATGATTGTAATTTTTTTTTTACACAAATAATTCGTGCACAGATGCGCGAGTCGTAAAGAAGTGCTAAAATACTACTTGAAAGATCGAGATAACATCGAACTTAAAAGAGTTGCGATATCACATTAGTGGTGAATAAATGCTATATAACATTGTATTTATGTTGCAGTTAAATGTCAAATTAATAGTAATACTTACAAAATTTACACACAAAGAATATTAACCACTTAATAAAATAAAAAAATCGAATACAAAGAAATCAAGCTGTTGACGAATCGCAATGGGTCGTAATATACTTGTTTCTTTATGTTCTATTCACACTATGGGTCGTGTTATATCAATATTATTGAATAAATTGAATCTTAAGTAATTTATATTTGAGGTAAAGTTGATTTTATTTTAGCAGGTGAATGTATTTCGTTTCTCTATGACAGTGTTGAACGCTTTTCAGAAAAGAAATTGTATATATTTAATATAAGGCTTTTTAATAAAAGATCTCGTATAAGAGATTTAAACTAATTTACATAAATATTACTTACGGGTGATAATCGTTGGTTTTGGTAACAACTTCGCATCTTATACATTGCTCGGAGCAGTCTACAATTGTGCTGGAGTATACAGAGACTTGGGACCCTATGTACATCTGTATGCCGACGCCACAGTTTTTCATTACACAATTTCGAAGTTCAACCTAGTAAAAAATATATATATTAGTTTTATCACGTTAACCATGTTATTGAGTCCAAATTAACGCAATTTGCCAACGCAAATTAACAAAAAATGAAATCAAAATTTAAACTTATTATACCCGCTAAAACGCTGTCCGCCATATTCATGACGTCATAGTGATATGTACAAAAACAGATACATAGAGTAGAAGATTAAAAAATGTAAATAAAACAAGAACAATGTCATGTATCGATCGATTACGAAATAAAAAGATATAAATAAGCTAAAAACAGCGCTATCTACAAAACGATTTATAAATCAAATCATCACTCAAAATCATCACACAAACAAATCACCACTTTTAATTTTAAGATAACCGAGCGTTTTTAAGACTCAAACTTGTTATTGCAATGCAAATTTTAGTTTTCGTGCAATTTTGTGACTTATTTTTCACTACCGAAACTACCATATTGAAAAATATTCCATACTTTTTTCCTTCAAATAAATAAGATATGATAGGAGATAAAAAGTGAACAAGAAATGTCTTAGATAAAAGGTAATAAAGTTGAAAAGTGAAGGCTCATAACGTTATAACTATGTAGAAAATTTACTAGGTGTTTCTCTTGTGACATTTTAACTCTAGCATCACCGTAATTTATTGGAATTTTTTTTATGCTACATTTAAAACTCGATTAAATACACAGATGTATATAAAACTGTGTCAAATTCTAGAGATATGATTCCCTACTAAACCTAGCAGTCGCCCTTAAGTGCAGTCTCGACATTAATAGCGATACGATCGCAAAGTATCGAATGTCAAATATTAACGAAAATAATTGTTTGCGGTAACGATCGTTACTTCAAATGCAAGTCTCTATTACCGAGTTAGCGAGCAAAATCGTAAACTATTCAGACGCTAACATATCGAAAATCTGTATTCATAGTGCAGTTCAAGTGCAGTTTCCTAAAGGAGAAAATGTTGCCTCAGACAAAAGTATTTTAAATCTAAGGAAATCAAAACAACGTATTTTGTTTATAAGTAATGATTTCATGTTCAATTTAGCAAATAAAAATAATTAAAAAATGCGTACTAGAAAATGATTGCTTTTTATTTATTTTATAAGTATAATTAATTATTAAATGTGTTAAATCAATTTGATTATTATTGGAAATTAAAATTTGTTTCCTTGCAACATCTTGATGTCATCGATATGTCAAAACATTATTGTTTATTACGGTTACGCTGTTTCGTGAAAAACTTCACATAATTTATTGAAATAATTTGTGTTGTGAGTCATGGTGGGAGATTCAGATGCGGAGTCACACGTGCAGCAGGCTCCGCGTGCTCCAAATATTGGACCTGTTTGAAGTTCTTTTTGAACATAAAATATTGCTAAGTATGCACTTTTTTGAATTCACTGAGCTTGATTAATATTATGATATGATTTTTACTTCTCTTCTCTTAGAATATATTACTAACGTAATGCTATTTATTATTTTAGAATGCATTGGCAATACGGCTCCCAATACTCAAAGTGAGGTGCAGTCAAGAAGGAAGAGAAGTTAGTACTCTCATGTTTATTGTTCATACTGCGATGAATATAATAAATATTTAAATGATAAATATTTTTATACTGTTTTTAGATCTCAATTCTCGTCGAAGTGTTGCAGAGCAACACGATTCGGCCAAACTCAATTTCTCGCCATTGGAGAGTCAAATGCGGAATCAATGAAGGTATATTTACACAATCTTTATTAAATGTGATATGTATTTGAAATGAATTAATTAAGAATAGATAAACAAAAAATACCCAAAAACATTATGATTATATCAAATTCCTATATATGGGTAAAAAAAGGAGACCCGCATTTATTTAGTTTATTTGTTATAGATGCTGGCAGCTGCATCAAAATTGCAGACAGAGGCTGCAATGAAGCAGGCCGAAGCTTCATTGATTCATGCACAGGCAATGAGTAAAATAGGGGATGCATTTTGCTTCTGGCCCAAAATAAATAAAAGTAAATTTACAACTTATATGGTCGTTTTTAATTTGTACACCTACCTACATAAAAGATATTGAAATAAAAAACAATCTTAGGTATAAAAACATTCGATCAATCTTCTGCTAATTCTATATAGCATGAGAAATTCCGTCTCATCTAAAGCCAAAAGATTTTGGAGACATCGCCTGTTTCTCGGCTATTTCCGCCTCACCATTAGGTATCGATGTTTAAGCACTGTTAAATCTAATGCTAAATATGCTACAGCCATCACGTTTTAAATATCTTTATGACTAAATTTTCGATATAAATACCTCGAAATACCGTAAAATATTGAAAGAAATATTATTAGCGATCGCAAAAGTCATTTATCGAGCTGTCAAATTTGGTCGCTAAGGAGCTAGCGAAATTCGTTAATTTGACAGTTGAACTCGCTACGCCACCGACAAAAATCGATAACTTTAAATGTAGAGACTTGCAATATTCGTTAAATTACGATCGCTATGAGTTAGCGACCGAATTCGGTGACATTGCGTTCGCAAACTGTGTCGAGACAGGATCCACCTAACGACTAACGAAGGCCTAAAATTATGACAAACGTCATATGACGGCTTACGATAGTTTTAAATAAATTTACAAAATAATCATACACAATTCGTTTAGTGAATGAATGTTTGACATCAAAATAAAGGAAAGAAAATATGACCACAGAAACAAAAGTTTTTTATTTGAAATTAAAAAAAAAACATTGGCTATTCATATTAGGCATTTCCTAGTTAAGTTATGCCTTATTCTAGATTAGTTAAAACGAGTATAAGGAAAAGATAAGCAAAAAAAACATTCCAAACTCACCACATTATAATCAAATTAGAACTAAATTATTATATTGAATCATCGCCCAACTGGTCCTAATTGCTTATCAAACGGAACTATTAAGAATTATCAGTGCGTATTTTGATGAAGTTAATAAATAAGGTATTCTGTACTTACTTGTGCACCCTTATGTACCACAATACCCGAATAGAAATTGTCAAAAGTGCAATTTTCTACAAGAACTTTGGCACCCGCCATCGCGACAATACCTTGAGCGAAGTCACTCTGAAAAAGTATTTTATGGGCTTGAAGTATAGTGCTTATTCGCATATTAATTTGCATCAATTATGGGAAGTCTGAAAACTGACTTTATTCATTATATATATATATATATCGCACACCTATCTAAACTAAGACAACTCAAAAACCTAATGTGGAGGTTTGACAATACATTTGTTTACGTGGCAGGAACGCGACCACTGTTGATTCGACAAAAGAAAGCTAAAGTTATCTAGCGGCTCATCCCCGAAACTTTATTGAATCTGTTATGTTGGATAGATGCGTATGATCACCGAGAATTTGAATATCGTACAAAGTCAAAACTCATTCAAATTTTTGAGTTGTCTCAGTTTAGATCTAGGTGTGCGATATATATTATTTTTCTTTGGTAGATATGGGAAAAAATGTTGCACAAAATAAGTTTAAAAAAGAAACTGTTTCTTTTTTATAGAAAATATTTAATATATTACATATACCAATACATGCTAATATATAAGGCATATGTTAGAGACTAAACAAAGTATTAGTAAGAAATTTATAAGTACCTGTGAGTTGCTGGAGTCATCGAGTAGTGTACAGTTGATGACTTGTAGTTTTCCAGTTCGCATTAATATGACAGTGTTCACCAACGCACAGTGTAATGTTAAACCACGCAATTTACATTCATCGCTCAACATAAATAAACAGGAACGCATATCTGGCGCCTTGATAGTTGCACCTACGGCAAATATAATAGAAATTAAAATGTGAAAACAATACTTCATACACCTTTTTAAGAAAACTTCTCAGATGGAAGACTATGCTGCACACATAATGTGTATGTATATGAAGCAAGAGCGAGCGACCGTTACGGGCGCTTTAGCCAAACCCACAACCCTAATAAGAGTTGTGACGTCACATTAGTACAGTTGTTGATTGCCCATATGGAACTACACTGTACTCTTGATCATGGCGTCATATTGTCATTGAGTCGAAACCGTGTACAATCTATGAAATACCTTTAAAACTGCAAAAAGATATCTGTGACACGGGAACTTCTGGTATTTCATAATGTTCGCTACATATCACCACTTGCTCTGGTTCCAAAGCTAGAGCTTCTTCAGCAGAGACCATCATAGTCAGTGACTGATTATTGGTGAGATGAGACTGCAAATACTTGGATATCTCATCAAACTCAAATATAGAACCTCCTTTCCACAGCGCTACAACCTGTAATGGTAACAAATCGTTATTAACTGTACACAATTAACTACTTAACAGTTCTAACTATAAATTACGAAACATTATGGAAATGGTAGCTTATATTTTAACAATAACTTTGTGGTATTTATTGTTTAAATCGTAAGTATATTTCGTCTTTGCAAAACTACCTTAATGATTATAATCAGTGGATTACAAGAACCGAAACGTGGACAGCCATGATGAAGTATCTTGTGATGTCACATTTTAATATACTAAACATAAATGTCGTTGTGAGTGCACCTAGTACTCATGTTATTGAAATGTGACGTCATGGCTCGAAATGTCACGTGACTGATTTTTTTCAAGGGAAAACTTTAATTATTGAATAAAAATATGTTTATCCATTATTTAATAACACCTTTTGAAGAGAAATCAAGAGAAGTTTCCCAGTCCAGTAGCCAATTACTAGAATATTGATGATGATGATGATGAAAAATCAAAAACTATTTTTCTCTTCTGTCATTGTCAATTTAGGCAGCCAATGGTTTAAACGAAGTACAAACTTTAATCTTCCTTATATATAATAGGAGAATAATGCAGTTCTGTATTTCATTTTTTTTTAAATGTAGGTAACTACAGAATTTTATTAAAGCTCTACAAGCTTTAATAAAATTCTGTAGTTACCTACATTTTTTCTGTTTCTGTGTTTCTGCCACCTGGTTTTTTCTTTTTTCATATACTGTTCTCTGATGAGGGGATTTTCATATAAAGTCCACTTTGACATAAGACCATCTAAGCGAGCATTCATCTCTGCACACAGTGATATGTAGTTTGGAGGTAACAAGGAATCTAAAAAAGACAAGATTAACAATGGATGATTACCAAAAGAATAAAATATAAATTTAAATTATTTCTCTATTAAAGACTAAAGAGTTTTAAAAATTAATGAAGGTAGTCTTCAAATATGATATCGAATTATGTTAAACTTATATATAACGTTTTGATACTATTCCTCAAACATATATCCATAGCTTCGATTTCTGGCTTAAGGGATTTTTTTTGCCATTTAAATTTTTTATAAAATGATCCAAACATTGAGATTTTAATGTTCCTAACAAAATTTCTGTGGCTTATCAATTTTATATACAAGTATTTTGCATATTAAAGTGATATTTAAATAACGAACAATTGTTGTTATGAAATGGTACTGTTTTTTTTTATTTCGTCCTTGTGGAACCTAACCCTCGGGTCTTGTTAACATGTGCAAAAATATGTCTCGACCTACGTCGTTTCGGCCGCAAACTGGATGCCCGCTGGCGCGGTGGTGGTGCCGACCGCAACGTGGGCAGTTTTATACAAATTTAAGCATTTCCATTAAGTCACGTGAGTGATTTCCATTAAGTTGCGACCTTAGATTTAAGTTGCGTATTTCGCGAACGTAAAATGCCGTCATTAAGAGGACCACCTGTATTTAAGGAATAAAACAATTAATACTTGCCATCCTCATCGGCTAGTCCACTTTCACAAAGAGAAGAATCCAGTTCTTTTAATTTCTCATGTGCATTAATAGCACTATTTCTAAATAATGTTATAGCCCTGGCGACATAATGTGGTATAGAACCATTGTGCATATCTGACCAAAGCGACATTCTATCTTCAATGGTATTTGGAAGAAGAACCTTGTCATCTTGATCATCCCAGGGCATCCAAATGTCATTGTAATAAAATCTATAATCATAAATATTACGTGTGTTAATAGAAATTCTTTTGCCAGTGCCGGACATTGAATATCTGCTATATGGCTCGTAAATAATAATTTGTGATAACTAGTAGAGGCATACAAAACAAACAATTTTTATCTATCCTAAATAATAAGGTAACCCAATTCATAGTAATCATAATTAAACTAAACAGGCTTCAAGACTATTCTAGGGTTCAATCTAAGTAATTTGCAATATTTTTGAAAACAGTGGTTCTACACTGGTGATCCAATGACTACATATGATCTGATGGACACCAGTGATTTCATTTTCCAAGTGGTGTAACAATAATTGGAAACAATTGTATCTTTATGTATACTATATAGATACATAAAACAAAAAATGTACTTTCTTTAACAAGACTTAGATACAGCAAAAGTGGACTCATTGTTTGAAATAAAATTTGCTAACAAGGCAAGATAGAAAATGATCCCTTAAGACTAACAGGATAATTAAGAACCACTGATTAAAAATATTAAGATATCTCATCACCAAGATATCATGCTGTTATAGTATTTTTCTATGAGAAACATTATAAACTGAAAATGTTGAGTATGTACACATAAAACAACAACACAATTTAATCTAAAAAAAAATGTTGACCTATTAAAACAAAAGAAAAGTTGAATTTCACTTTAGAACTATGTAGATTTAAGTAGTCACCTCAATAAATCTATGAACTCTGCTGTGGTTGCTGCATTGACACACATCTCCCTTTGTTTAACTGTTGGCCACAACTCTATTAGAGGCACATCTTCAACCATTTCAGGTAATGATACTGCCTCATGTTGTACACTAAGGACATCCACACAAGCTGTGAGTGTTTCAAAATCTACTGAAGTCACAGACACATATGCAATGCACGGGAAACGAGCCTCTGTAATTAAAATATTATATCTATTCTTTCAACTGCCAATATTAACTTATTGCAATACAATAATATTTATCTATAGCATTATTTCTTCTCTGGCGCAGTAAATAGGTTGAATATAGGGACCAATTTAAGGAGGAATGGATTATTAATTCATCCTACTGTATATGATTAAGAAAGGTTTTACCAAATTTCCTACAGAACTTCTTAGATAGTTTCCAGAGCGCGTCCCAGCCTACAGGCTCAACTAGCAACTCTGCCTGCAGGCTCCACTGTTCCCTAGCAGTACCACGCCCACTGAACACACGCAACAGCTCTTGAAGGATCTCGCTATCACTACGTGTGAAAGTAAACACTGCCGGCATCTAAAAGTGAGAGAAAAATTTCAAATAAAAATTATAATATTCTACGTTATTACCTTCGATAACTAAAACTGAAGATTGGAAGAAGTATTCAGCATAATTCTTTATCATGTAGAAATATTTCGTGTCCACAAAAAGAAATATTGTAAAATATTTACAGCTTTTTTATTACCTTTTCGAATTTATGCTTTTAGGGAAAATCAAACCTCGAATCGCAAATTTGTAAACAGCCGTTCATTTCGAATTTGATTGACTGTGACAGTGTGATTGACTCTACAAGGCATAAATCGATACTGTAATCGAGTACTCATAGCAGTTAAGCGATTTTAATCTACAATGAGTACTCGATAATAAAAATATTCAGTACTTACTATGTTTCTCCAGATATGATGTTTCTAGTGCTGCAGAAAACGTATCTTTCTAAAGATTAAATCATATGCATCTGAAGCAGTGCAAAGATTCGAATCAATTAATGCTTCGTTTGGATCATCGATTCTCAAATAGAAAAGGTGAACATTATTTTTATTGGTATTTAAAAGTATTACTAATATATATAAAATATTTTTTATGATAATCCAACTCATTCTTTAATTATTTTTGCAGTTAATATATGAAAATATGCCAAAACACCGAAGTATAATTTCCTTGCTATGTCCATTTGCTATGGATTCTGATATTTTGACCCTTATTTCAGTTTTATAAAAATGCTGAATATCGACAGCTTTATTTTACATTTGTTAAATATAAAGCTAGTTACTAAAAAATAAAATTTAGGTATTCCAAATAAATCATTTAGTTAGGGAATAAAATAAAATAAACATTTGTCTTTGTCCCAGTCAAAAGAATAATATCCATGGCTTGATTATTCTACTGTTATAGTACAAAAACGCAAACAGTTTTTGATTCAGTTACTTCGTATCAAGACCATGTCGAAGCGCAACCTATATATTGTAATTCGCCTTCTCGCAAACACGCAAATTACGTCATTCCTTGAGTTTGAATTATAAATTTTCCAATTTTCTTGGTCGCGATTTATCAGCTGCTAAATGACACTTTTCTGGACTGGCAAATTCCACAGGAACAAACAGGATTTATCAAGGGAAGAGGTACCAGAGAGCAGATAGTGAACCTTCGCCTTATAGTAGAAAAATTACATGAGTTCAACACATGTATGTAACATATGTTTCGTCGACTACCAGAAGGCTTTCGACTGTGTGAGGTGGGATAAGCTTTGGGAGGTGCTTACTGAAATGGGCGTCCCCGCTCACCTTGTAATGTTGATTCGCAACCTCTATGAATTTGGATTTGGTACAGTGACCACGGGAGACTTTACTTCAAATCGTTTCCAGTTTAATATTTATGGTGAGTCTATAATGCGCCAGACGCTCGAAGGCTGGAGGGGTGGAGTCAAGATAGGTGGAGTTAATATCTCAAACCTCCGATTTGCGGATGATACCACATTACTTGCATCTTCCGAAGCAGTAATGGCGGAGTTGCTCAACGACTTAGAAACCGTCAGTTTAAGAATGGGCCTCGCTATAAATAAAGCTAAGACCAAGGTCATGATCGTAGACCGTTTTTCAACGTGTCCCAACATGGGTATGAGACCGTGGATCAGTTCCAGTATCTGGGCTCCGTAATCACAAAAAAGGGCATCTGTGAGCCGGAGGTGCGAAGGCGAATCGGCATGGGAAAGACAGCAATGACACAACTGGGCAAAGTGTGGAGAGATAGGCACATCAGCAACAAAACAAAAATATACCTAGTCCGCACACTCGTCCTCTCCATATTTCTGTATGATGCCGAGACCTGGACTATTAAAGCGGCTGTTAGACAGAGAATCGATGCGTTTGAGATGTGGTGTTGGCGTTGTGGTGTTGGAGAATACCATGGACAGCTCACCGCATAAATGTCTCTATCTTACAACAGCTTAAACTAGAGAAAGCACAGCGTCTATCTTCAACCTGCCTGAGACGCATACTACAATACTTCGGCCTCGTTGCTCGACGAGATACCAATAACATAGAGTGCTTGATGGTTACGGGGAAAATAGAAAAGAAGGAAAAGGAAAAGGAAAGTAAAAATAGAATAGGGAAAAGACCTAGGGGCCGGACCCAGGGCCGGACCCAGGGGCGGGAGCCCCAAACGTTGGTCAGATCAAATCTCGGAGGTACTTGAGATCCCGGTTAATGCTGCACTCCACCAAGCAGCTGAGCGAATCCAATGGAGACAGATAGCAAGATGACACGGAGTCACGATCCTCAGCAGTGAGGCAACCATATAGAAGAGAATTGACACTATATGAATCAGTTTTTTGTAAGGCGGATTGTACCATGTAAATGCCATTAAATCTATGATCAATATTTTCAATTTGTGACATTTTTAGGCTGAAATCCTAATTTCCCTGTTTTCCGTATTTAAAAAATACTCAAGGAAATTATGAATTTACAAGAGAATTAGATATTTGTATTTATTTATACAAATTTCTATTCTAATAATAAAGTTATTAACAATATACACATTTATGAAAAACTTTTTAATTTCGTAAAATGTTTTTTTTTTATCTATCCATAAACACATAAAAATGGCTAGAAAAACAGTCAAGAGAAGAAAAATTGGCAAAAAAGACTAGCGGTAAGAAAAAGACTGGAAAAAGTTCAAAGTGACCCAAAATTATATGAGGTACATATTCAAACTCAATAACAGAGCCACATATTAGAGGTGAGGCGTATTTACTAGGTATTTTACAATACTAGGCCCCACTTGTTATCATTTTCTATAAGTTACACGATTTTCGACACTGCTTTATAATGTTAGAGGTCATAATTGCATGCACGCATTATGTTCACTAGTTTTTTTTCTCCATGTTATTACGGAACACATCTGCGTGATGTTTCGTCTGGTCTAAAACTAGTGAAGTGAACTATCGGAACAATCGAATAATGTTGTGAAGTGAGAGTAAGTCGAAAAAGTGTTGTTAAATTTATAGGTTAAGTAAATAAATTAAGTCGGATTGTGAATTTAATTGGCGTTGATTTTATCTCAAACCCTAAGTCGTAACAATAGGTATCATAATAGTCGACTTTAACACAACGGAATAAATTTTTTATAGTTAGGTGTGAGATTTAATAAAACATTATCATAAATTCAGTTAGTTTTATGTAATACGATAAATGACACAATTTTTTAGACATAGCTGTTATTATCAAAAGTTACTAAGCAACCATGATAGTAGCGGTGTTCCTCTATGAAGCGTAAAACTTTAATGGCCAGCTCTAACACTCCTCTTCACCGCTGATGTCGTGGTCATCAGAACAGTCCTAGACTTCTTCGTAGTTTTAGAAGCCGAGGACCAGCTAGAGCTTTTGTCAGTAGATCTGCCTCCATATCCTCCGTTCTCAAATACTTAACTTCGATTGCTCCCTCTTGTATGCAATTTTTGATGAAGTGCATTTTAAGATCAATGTGCTTGGATCTGGAGGTCACCATTTCATTTTGGCTTAATTTTAGTGCTGCTTGATTGTCGTTTAATATGACAATACGATCATATTTGGCCCCGAAATCATTATAAAGATTTTTCAGGTGTATAGATTCTTTAGCAGATTCTGTAAGTGCAATATATTCTGCTTCGGCCGTTGATAAAGCTACACCCTTTTGCTTTTTAGCCATCCAGCTCACGGCCGTGCCAGCATATTTAAAACAATAGCCCGAAAATGATTTTCTATCAAGCTTGCATACGCCCCAGTCTGCATCTGCCATACCATATAACTTCTGTCCAGTTTTTATAAAAACTAGGCCGACGCTCTTTGTGCCTTTTAGATAGCGCAGAACTCTTTTTACGCTTTAGAAGTGTCTTCGCTATAACAGTCATTAAACTGTGATAGGCAGCTGATTGCAAACATAAAATCAGAGCGTGTTGCCAGACTGCCAGATACATAAGTGAACCAACCAAGTTTTTGTATGGCAAGTTTGGTCTTACGTCTGTTTTTCCTTTGTCTAATGTAAGACCTGGCTCGATAGGCATGAAAACCGGCTTACAGTCTTCCATTTTGTACTTTTTCAGGATCTCTTCAATGAATCTTTCTTAATTTAATTTTATAGTGTTCTCTGTAATATTTACATCTATACCAATGAACCATTTTGGAGTTCCCAAGTCTTTTAATTCTTATTTAGAAGCCCTTTTACTTCTTGAAACAATTTAGGACACGAATAGATATAGAGTAAATCGTTGACATATATTACAATAAATACTTTAGCTCCTCTTTTCTCTAGTATATATACACAAGGATCAGCCTCTGAAGTTTTGAAGTCAATATTCTTCAATTCTGTGTCGAGCTTTTTGTACCATTGCCTACCTGCCTGTTTGAGTCCGTATAAGGCTTTTATAAGACGACAAACTTTCTGTTCAGGGTTATTTTTTATATCTCTTAACATATTTACAGTTTTATTATACAAAGTCAGATCTTCTTCCTTTCTTTCATCGATCATTATTTCAGTCAAATAGTCTTCCAAGTAGTTGGGGTATTTCATTTCAATTCTTTCTTCTAGTTCGCCGTTTAGGTACGCGGTTGTCGCGTCCATTTGACTCAACTGTAACCCTTCCTCTACAGCTATTCCAATTATGGATCTGATTGAACTTAGCTTAGCAACAGGCGCATAAGTTTCGTTGTAATCAACGCCTGGTCGTTGCGTGAAGCCCCGTGCTACAAGTCTGGCTTTCCTTGTCACACTGTTATCTGGTCCCACTTTATTTCTAAGAACCATTTTGTAGTCTACTTCTTTAGTTTTCTTTTCTATTTTCCAGGTTCCATTCTTGACATGAGCCCTTATTTCGGCTTTAATAGCATCATGTCAATATTCATCTTTCTCATTTTCATCTGATATGTACGATATTTCTGACACTAAATGAGTTTCTTACGATTCATCCAATTCAAAATCTCTAGTCCATATGGGTCGGCGTCTCTCTCTTTGTGGCCTCCCATTCTTTGGTATTTCTATGATCTCTGCTCCATCGCAGGGCCCAGTTTCATCTATTACAGGATCTAATTCATTTTCTATATTGTTTTCATTCTCTGTATTAGATATAGTTATTTCAACTTCTAATGGTAGAAGGTTCCCTTTTGTTTTCTTTCGCAGGACTTTGTGAGTGTTCTTCTCTTTCAATAAGATTATCATAATTTTGACCATCTTCATTAAAATACATTTTAT